AGAGAGAGAGAGAGAGAATGGTGGATTGTGCTAATGGTTGCAGACACGACGTGACACTAATGTCACGTGCGAGGCCACTAATGAACGTTCTAATGCTGCTTGGCATAGACTCAACGGTTGGTCCAAATGCTCGATAGAATCATATCTTGCCTGGAATCATAATCGGATCTCTTCGAAGGCGTATTATACCTGCGCATCACCAGTAGTCTTGGCAGAACATGAATAAAAACACGACGGACCCATGGCGCCATCACGTGCGTCTGTGGCGACCGGAAGTGAACATTGAGGACTACCACGGTTACGCATATACTGAAAACGAAGCGTTACAAGTTAAATTAATAATTATAATTTATGGCTCAATAGATTTAAAGATTTCCAATTTAAAATTTTCCTTTGATCTTGATTTAAAATTTAATTTAATGCTATGAAAATAATTTTACAATTTAATCCAAAATTTTTGTAAAAGTTTAAATAAATTTGTCGATATTTGTTATACCTGAAGGTGTCTAGGATCATGGTGAAAAGGACGAATTTACCAAGAAGCGGTACTACGAGCGATGTGGGCGGGATAATTTCGGCCAGCAGAAGGAAGAACACAGTCAGCGACAGTAGAATTGAAATTGATAGGCTGACCTGCAATTAGGCGGTGAAAAGTTTCTTCATTTTTAATTCAATAATATATATTTTCAAAGGAAGAGATGAAAAAAGTGTTTGTAAAAAGACAAGGATAAATGAATAAAAATTACAGAAAAATAAAGAAAGAAAGAAAAAGATCAAAGAGACAATGTTCCAATTTTAATTTTTTTTTCAAGAATATATTTGAACAAAGCATGATCGTCACAACAGAAGAAGATTCATTCAAGATTAAGCGCGAAGAATAGAACGTTTTCTTCACATAATGTTCATCAATATCGAAACACGTTAATGATCGCACGCGATCATATCAGATAGAATAAAAAAAAAAAAATTAAAACACAGCGCAGAAAGGACAATGTGGAAAGGATTACGCGTAACGTAATCGCTACATCATGTCAAGAATCTACGTTCACGTGGCAGATCATCGTTTCTATCAATACGAACCCCGAAGTTTTCAGACACACGATAGCTAAACACAGCTAAACAATCGCAACACGCGATACAAGCGAAGATAAATGTGACTCGGTGCTATATATTCACGATAGGTCGGTCGATGTGGGTAGTTTCAAATCAGTAGGCAAACTCGAAACAAAGAACAAAGCCCCCGAGATTCGAATGGCTGCATTGTTCGTTTTTTTGGCAGCATTCGTCTAAAGTAGCTAGCAGATTCGCGGTTCAACTGTCCCGAATCCAACTGTCCCTTTTAAACGAGATTCATCGTAAAACGTGTGTCCGTTCGAAAATTCGTTTTTTTTTTTTTTTTTTTTACGTGCACAAGTTAGAAAAATCAAGGAAACTTGTACGCAATTGAAAAATTTATATCGTGTATATTATCTTACGTTGAAATGTACAATGTTGAATGGGCAAGTGGATGATAAATTCAAATTGGTGGAATTAGAAAAACGAAGTGTAATTTAAGGAGGACGGTATAGATCTCGATCTTGTCCTTTTCAAGTGATGAAATCGGAAGAAGTGAACGGCTGGCGGATGGCACGCTGACATCTGACCTTCTCCCAGTTTTTTTCTTCTTTTTTTTTTTTCATCACCCCTCTCCTCCTCCTCCCTCGACGTTTCTCCCTCTACCATTTTGCCCGGCTGTTTCGAGCCAGAACAATACGACTGAATTATAGAGGCGCACACGGCGTCAAGTGGGTATCGGCTCGAGGTCAAGAGTCTGCGAGGAATGGAGGCCGAACGGCATTTAGAGGTTTGCATTCCCGACGATGGATTTTGATATTTGACCCTCTCCACCCGGAATTTCTGATCGAACAAGTCGACTTCGCCCACACGCGAAATCGCGCGACGCATTAAATGGTAAATACACATAAATCGTGTAAATATTTTTGATTTCCATTTACCGGGTGTGCTTGGAAAAAACTTGAAAACTTTTTTCTTTCTTTTTTTACGCACAGTTTTCTCCATTCTTTCTCGAAACAACATTTGAATGAAACGTTCTTTCCACGTTTTTGAAACTTGATTTCGTCGTTCC